GATGGCAGCGGCCGCCGGGCACGGCGAGGAGGGCTCATTTCACGCATAGGCGACTCTGCCAGCCACGTCTCGTGCTCTACTTAGCATTTCGCCTCCCCTGCCGCCGCGCCATGTGCGGGCACAGATGGCACCATTCATCTTTCATTGCCGCTGCCACCGGCAGCCAGGCCGGGGCACGGGGCACGGGGCACCGGCCGTGCTCCGGACAAACTCCTCTGGGAAAGCTTGGCCTGACCCAGCTTCCAGAGCCAGGAGATGCCCCCCGAGCTCCTTGTCCCAAACTTTGCCAATTAGGCAGTAATTCCCTTACAAATGGGCCTCTGCTTGATAACTTCGTGAAGGCATTTAACCAGCTTAATTCAAGCAGCAGCCCTGCCTTGTCCACCAAATAAAGCAAAGAGTTTTCAAATATTACACTCAATTATACTTATAAATCTTGCCCAGGTAATGAACATATTCTTTGGCTTGCAGAAGAGCCGGACACTTATCTTACTCCTAAAGATAAACCACCACATCCATATAATGCATTGCTAAGCCTCCCTCTTCCCAGCCGCAGCGCCCGGAATCCCATTTTCTATTAAATAATAATCATTGTAATTAATAGACTGGTTATTTTATCTCCCTAATCTGGTTACAGCCATTTATCAAAGGTATGTAAATGAGGGCGGCAGAAAGCCGTTCATTATGATTTTCCAAAGGGCCCGTGTCTCTCGCTGGAGCATGGAAAATGTAATTCTCTTGAACTTAATAAGATACTTGACTTCGTGTCATTCCCAGGAAGCAAATCCAGTCAAGACTTGCCTTTTATTTTTTTTTTTTTCCTCTGTCACACTCAATTTGCTTGAGTCACAATTCTCCATCAGTTCAGGCTGTTTCCCACGTGTGTTTCCCCTCCCGGGATCGGGCATTGCCCGCTGCGGTGCCCGGCTGGCACAGCCATCCCCGGCAGCGTTCCGGGCGAGGCGTGCCCAAACCCAGAGCCCCGTGACCACCGTGTGTGTGTGTGTGAGTGTGTGAGTGTGAGATTTACACACTGCCTAACTCCAAAGCCCCTGGAAAGGAGCAGGAAACCATTCCAAAGTGTCACACTCCCGCTGACGGGGAGCTGATTAATGACAACCCCGCAGAGAAGTGGCACTTGAACCAACTTTCCCCGCTGACGTACGATGACATAATGTCCTCTCCAATTAATGACAGGGACATGAAACACCTGCAGTGAGAGCAGCAGATGCTGCCTGCCTTCTTGGAGGCGTGTGCAGGATCGGGGCCCATGGGTGCTCCCTGCTCGCTCCTCACCTGGCAGCGCACCCAGCCCCCGTCCCAGGCTCCAAAGGCTTCTCTCCAGAGGAGACAATCCTTCCCTGAGCAGCTCTGAGGGCTTTGCCTCGCTGCCACTGCCCCACGTTTGTCCCCATTAGTGAATCCCTGCAACACCAAATGACCTGGAGCTACCTGCCACTGCATTTGCCCCTTTTGGGCTCTGCCACAAAATTCAACACGCCGAGGGTAAAAATTTCTTTTTCCTTCACTCCTGCACCGGATGCAACAGGCAAAAATCACAATTTGTTTTGGGGTTTCCCCCGTTCTGCTGCACTCACCCTTTGCAGATCCTGCTCCAGCACCTCGTGGAGACCGGAAAGCTCAGGCACATCCCAGCTCCTAGAAAAGGAACAGAAATCATGTCCAATGATCACAGCTTTCCTAAAGATCCTAAAATATTGCTTCCATAAGTCAGGCTGAGGCAGGGAATTACATTCGTTTCAGCCTCCTGAGATTAGAGAAGAAGTTCAAGTTTCTGGTCGAGATAAATACAATTTCCTTAAAGCAGTTTAACAGCTGCACCAAAAAAATAAAAAAAAACCCGGGCGGAAAGAGAAGGGAGAAGTTGAAGACATCCATTTTCTGCAATCAGTGGCAGGTGCAAGTCAAGGGCATGGCCTTTAGCAGGACCCCGGGCTTGGGCCGGAGCTCTGCCAATTAATCATGCAGCAAAATGCACTTGACAGCTTGGAGAAGGGCTCCCGTTCCTTCTCTCATGATTGCGTTGCTAATTGGGCCCTGGGAATTGCAGGGAGCAGCAGAGACTAGGGAGAAGCTGTCAAGGGCTGGGCTGCAGGACCTTCAACCTTCTGAGCTGCTTCAGATGCTCCGAGCTCGCTGGGGAAGGATTCTCCCGGAGCTGGAACCTCTCCCCCTGTGTTAACCTGTGTGGGTTTCTCAGGAAGGGACACAATTCCCTCCTTTGTCCATCCCCCTGTTTTATTTCAGAGCTCCTGGGGAGCAGGAGGTGCTCAGGTGCTCCTTGAGGAATCCCTGCCACGGACTCCAAGGAACCAGCGCTGCCTCTGGAGCAGCGGAGATGCCAAGGAACCAGAGCTGCCTCTGGAGCAGCAGGGATGCCAAGGAACCAGAGCTGCCTCTGGAGCAGTGGAGATGCCAGGCTGCATCCTCAGAGCTCCTGGGAGAAGGGCAGCAGCTTTGGTGTGGCGAGTGGGCACCGCTACACCCAGAGGGGCAGCTGAGGGTGGAACTGGGCAGGGATATCTGTGTGCCCGCAGTCGCCCAGCCCGAACCGTGCCAGGCAAGCCCCCGGGAGGTTGGCAGCAGCTGAAGCCCACCTGCCCTCGCTCCTCCCCGAGCTGCAGAGGCTCTCAGGGGGCACGGCTGGCACATGGCACTGCTGCTTTATGGAAGGCTGGCTGCAGCTGCTATTTTTAGGCCGTTAATAAAAAAGGATTGCTGGTCATTCGAGCGGCTTAGCGGGCACAAATCGCAGCGGAGCCGAATTTTCGGGGGAAGTGAGGTGATCCATCCCGCTAATCCCGCAAAGTCCCGAAATCCCGCCGGAGGCCGAGACCTCTGCCTTCCTCCTCCACTGCTTTTTGGGGTGGCAATTCCCTGCTTGTGTTCCTATTTACCTCCCAAACCCAAAATCTGAGCACCACCTAAACCTGAGCTCACCCAAACCCAGAATCTGAGCACCACCTAAACCTGAGCTCACCCAAACCCTGCAGCACCACCTAAACCTGAGCTCACCCAAACCCAGAATCTGATCACCACCTAAACCTGAGCTCACCCAAACCCAGCAGCACCACCTAAACCTGAGGATATTCACTTTGGCACCAAGGCAAGTGGGTGATTAAATGACTCGAGGCTGTCTCCGAGGCTCTTCTTGGTGGAGATATCCAAATTTCCCACTCACCTTCCAGTTCCCAGCAGGACCCACCCCACGGGGAATGCCCTGGGGGGAAAATCCCCGTGTCCCTGCAGTTCCCTTTCTGTGGGTCACTGCCCTGGCCCGGAGAACACAGAGGGAATTTCCCTCCTGACCCCAGGGCTGTGCCAGCAGCACGTGGGGATCTTCCAGCCAGGATTAAATTAGGATTACATTTCCCAGTAAATGCATTTTCCCTCTAAAAAAGCCCAGGCAGGGATGAACTGTGGGATTAACTGTCTGGGGAAATCTGCTGGGCGCCGTAAGATTTTGACCGGGTAATGTGGAGATTTTGGGGAAATTAGGAGTTTGGAATGTGAGCCGGGTTTAGGGCTAAGCCCCTAATCGCCCAAATGTGCCTTCAATCCCTCAGGTGAAGCTGTTCCTGTGCCCGCTGCTGCCATCCCA